AGTGTCAAATCGAGCCCTCGTGTGCCCTGTCTTCGGACTCCACTTTTACAACTCTGAGACCAAATCAAGGTCCCCACCCTTCAGAAGCCTCTAATGCTTTGTCTCTAAATGATGATAGTGTCTCTCCTTCCCTCCTCCACATGTAAGTAAGGTCTTGTTCAACTCAGATTTCCACCGTGAGGTGGTTGTGGGCTTAACATAGAGACATATTCAGCCTTTTGGTAAATTTCATGAACATAACTGGATAGGCTTTTCTAATTTATGACCTGGTCTGATGAGTATGTCTGGTGAAGCAGGTTATAGAGGGACTGAATGTGAAGAATTCTGTTATGTCACAAGAAATAAAATTAAACTGAGGATTCAGACATTCTGCTATGAAGGAAAGATAAGCATCTTAGTACCAAAGCATCAAACTCCTCTAAAAAAAATGTCAGGAGGGCTAGCAGGTGGCATGATGGTTAAGTCACTGGACTCCCCCATGGTTGACTACAGTTCAAGTCTCAGACCCAGTGGCTTGAGAATCATACTGAGCACATGTACATGCCTGCCTAGAATCTCAAGAGGAGACTGGAGGAGAAGAGACTATAATGTGGCCATGCCCCCACCAGGGGTAATCTCACTTTCCCTCTCTATCTCTGGCAATCTCATATGTCATATGGCAAAAAAAAAAAAAAAAGATATATATAGATATATATACACATACATATAATAAATTTTGGTATATATATGTATATGTGTATCTGTGTGTATATATAGGTAGGTAGATAGATATAGATAGATAGATGGAGGAGAATGTCAAAATGTCAATTATAACTACACCACCAGCAATAATAATACACAAGAACAGCACATTCGGTGTTTTCTGTGTTCCATGCCCTGTTCCAAGGGCTTTTGCATATAGGAATTGATTCAATCTTCAAAATAACCCTACAAAATAGATCAACTACTATGATTGTAATTATCCTTCTTTTATTATCATCAGGAAGCAAAGGCAACAAAATGTGAAGGAGCATGGCCCTAGGTAATGCAAGTGAGGACGGCCAGCAATCCTTCCCTAGGTCCATCCTCTTAATACTACAGCCTCCAACTATGAGCCCTACTGACACAGCGTTCAGGATCTGTCTGTGGTCATGGAAAAATAAACACATATCAAGTGCCTGGTCTTGGAAACAGACAGACATAGTTCCTGTCTCCATAGAATTTACAGTCTGTTCAAGGAGACAGACATTCAAGAAGTAACTGTGGTGTGTGATTATTCTGTGGCTATATAGAATTGTCGCGGGACCAGCAGTTAGCATAATGGCTATGTCACTGGACTCCCACATAGTCGACCACAGTTCACATCCCAGACCCGGTGGCTTAAAACTCACGCCGGTGCCGTGTGCGTGTATGCCCAAGAGCCCGGGAGGAGAATGGAGGAGAAGGGATTGCGTGGCCATCCCCCCTGGGGGGTGATTTTTCACTTTCTTTCTCGTCTGTCTGGGGAGCATATGTGCCCTATAGCAAAAAAAAAAAAAAAATAGAACCTCTAAAAAAAAAAAAAGAGTTGTCTCTAGGGATCTTTTTTTATTATGTCCAATTTTAAAAATTGAATACAGAACCAGCCAGATGGCATGGTGGCTAAGGCAGTTGAATCCCACATGACCAACTGTGTGGTTCAAGTCCTAGGTCTGGCGACTTAGAAAGCACATCAGGTGCGTGTGCAAAATCATGAGAGGAAAATGGAGAAGGGATTGAGCTGTGGTCAACCCCACACACATGGCCTGGGGTGTGATTTCTCATTTTCTCTCCTTCTCTTTGGCTAATACAAGCACCCAATAGCAAAAAATAATAAAATTAAATTAAGAATTGAATCCAACGTTATAAAGAATTGAGCCTAAAGAGACTGTTGAGATGAATGAGGTGCCCAAGGTCATGCAGGTAAGAGGGAGCAAGGCCCCTGGCCTGGGGTTAGTGTTCTTTCTCAAGAAAGGGATAGATTCTCCAGCTTCTTCAATGACTATACATTGACATGCCTCTCCTGAACATACATCTACTCCTCATAAATAACTTCCTCATAAGCTTTTAAAATGCTCTTTTAAGTCCATTTTTTTTCAATACCAGGTTCAGCTGAGAATTCTTATTAAAGGGTCAGGATCCTCTTTGCAAGCCACAGGGTCTTCTGATAGTCCTCATGTGCTGTCTCCACGTGAATTATTGACACTAACCCAGCCCTCCCTCCTTTGGCTTTCAGCCCGAGACAGTGATGGAGCTGAGGAGGATGTAGCATTAACTTCATATGGTACTCCCATTCAGCTGCAGGTAAATGTGCTCGTCTACGTTCACCCAGGAGGGACATAGCAAGCACTCCATAGGAGAGAGAGCCTTCAGGCTTCATGTCCATGGCCTTACTGACCTAAGAGAGGAAAGGCAAGGCAGGATCATCCCTAAAGGCATGTGGAACTTGAGCCACCCAGAGCAAAGTCATTCAGGGTGTTGCAGGAGAGGCACGGCACACTCTCTCCTCTGTGAACCCCTCCAATTTCCACCACCACCACCATCGACAAAAAACATACCATGATGCAGGTGCATCTCCCTGGAAAGAAAAGACAGCTTCAACGGTGAAGAATTGCAGGCTCTGAGTTTTGCCTTGGGGACAATGGAGGATTGTAAATATGTATGAGTGCTGGGTCTGTTTTTAGTATCAGTTGTCGAAATCTCTCCCCTGAGCCCCACTGACTGCCTCTCTGAATCACCATCTAGCTCTCACAGCTCAGGCTGCCTCTAGAACTGGGCTAGGTCTGCCACCATCATCTGGATGTCCAGACGGATGAACCTGTTTTAATCCATTCAGGCAAAAACAGAAGGAGCTCTGCTAAGTGTATCGGGGGGAACTCCCAGTTGTGCCGTAACAGCTTGAAGACACACAAATCCGGACTGCCAAATATACCACATTGGGACACAATTCTCTCGTTATGGGGACCAAATGTAACCAAAATCCAGGAGTGACCCTCAGACCATTTGTTTCATGAACTTTAGCAGGCAACTAACTAAATTAATCCCTCTGGTCTGTTATCAGAGACTTTGTCAAATAGAATGACACATGGGCGAGGACATAGCTATATAATTTGCCATAATTAACTCTCAGGAGGGTATTTACATAATGAGAAAATCTTTATTATCCCTCTAAGAATGTCTTGGATTAGTTTCAATTTCCAGTGATCAGCTTTTCAAGAACTTTGCAAAAGGATTCCTGTTAATGGCTAAACGGGAAGCCTGACATGGGTAGGCCCAGGGTTTCTTCTTCTCTTTTTTCCTTTAATAACAAACAAGTAAATGATGGTGAGATACTATTTCAGACACAGTTCTGGACAGCATCATGCCCTGTATTGGTTCCAGTGGTTAATGGTGATATTTCTTCTTTTTCCAGACTGTTGACCCCACAAAGGAACAGTTCATCCCACAGGCTAAACTAAGCCCTCAGCAAGATGCAGAAGTGTAAAGTCTACAGGAAGCAGGAGTGGTGAAAACATGGAAGACCATCCTGGTTACTATGGCCCTGACAGACCACCAGGGAGCCCACGGAGTCGTGCTGCCAAGAAACTAGCTACTCATTCTCCCTTCTCTCCTTCCTACCCCTTTCAATCCATGTGGACTCTTCATCAGAAGACAGCCCTTTCAAGTATAATTACAGTCTTGCTGACCACCCTATCCTGACTGTGTCTCTTTCTTCATCTATGTCATTGAAAAATTTTTTTCTTTCTTAGCAATGCTGGAAAGAAATGGTGCCTTTTTTTTTTTTAATTGCCAGAGGGCACATGACTTTTCCAGAGAGAGAGAGAGAGAGAAGGCACTCCCCCTCCCCCCCAGTGGTCATGCTACATTCCCTTCTCCTCCATTTCTCCGTCCTATCAAGCATACACACTCACAAGCCTTACATGTTTTTCAAAACCCTGGGGCCAGGATTTGAACTATGGATGGCCATGTGGGATCCAGCTCCCTTACTCACTAGGCTACAGGGCCAGCTCAGGAACTGGCACCTTTTACTAAAGACCCTGTTCTGAAGATTTGAGTCATTCTAATGTGTCAAATTTAGAGGTTCAGAGCAACTTTCTACTGGATGACTCCTCTAGTCAATTTCTTTTCATTGCACTTTAAAAAAAATACATAATATTTACCATCTTAGCTACATTTAAGTATACAACTTAGTAGTGTTAACTATATTTACATTATTGTACAAAAGTCTCTAGAACTTTTTCATCTCCCAAAACTGAAATTCTACATCCATTGAACAAGAACTTCGCCAGTCCCTGGCAATCACCATTCTACTTTCTGTGAGTTTGACTTCTTTAGATACTTCATATAATAGGATCATACATTTTTGTCTATTTTTTTTTCTTTTTAGAAAGATTTATGTTTTAGGGCACGTGTGCTCACTGGAGAGACAGAGAAATAGAAAGCAAGAAATCACTCCTCCCAGGAGGGATGGCCATGCCACAATCCCTTCTCCTCCGTTCTCCTCTCGGGATTTTGGGCACACATGTATACATGGCCAGCATGAGTTTTAAGCTGCTGGGTTCAGGACTCGAACCACAGTCAACTACATGGGAGTTCAGCAACATAACCATTGCACCATCTCCTGGTCCTAGTTTTTGTCTTTTACAACTGGCTTCTTTCACTTAGCATAATGTCCTTGAGGTCTACACATGTTGTAGCATGTGACAGGAGTTTCTTCTTTTTTAAGGCTGAGTAATATTCCATCATATGACTATACCACATTTTATCTATGTATCTGTTGCTGGACATTTGGGATGCCACCACCTCTTGGCTATTGTGATAATATTGCAATGAACATGAAAGTACAAATACTTCTTCAAAATCCTTCTCACAAGTGTTTTGGATATATACTCAGAAGTGCCAGATCATATGGTAATCGTAATTTTAATTTTTTTCGGACCTTCCATATGGTTTTCTGTAGCAGTACACCACTTAACATTCCCACAGTAGTGCACAAAAAGTTGCAATTGCTCTGTGTCCTCACCAATGCTTATTATTTCCCAGTTTTTGGTTTTGTTTTATAGTGGCCATCCTAATGAATATGAAGTATCCAGTCATCTTACATAAAGGAACCCAAACATGATTGACTCAGAATTTCCTATAAGAGTTATAGAAGAATCCTCCATGATCGGGCAACTTAAATAACACATTTCCATGGACTTATGAGCTGGTAGGCTTGCTTCCACGACACCTACCGCCTTATGCCAACAAATACAGCAGCAGACAAGGTTAAGGTCAATGACAGGCTTTGATGAACCAATAACAGCTGAGAACAAGCTATCCCAGTTGATGCTCATAAAGGATTTAAAGTAGTGAACATAAAGAGCATCCTCTGCCTGTCTTGATGTTTCTAACGAGCGGGTGCCTCTGCACTAATTACTTTGCCTTCATCCCTCCTGCAGCCCTACATGCTTCCCAATCGTTTCATCTGTCCTTAATACTCACTTGTTATATACATCAGGTATAAACTCGCTTGTTATATACAACAGGATCAGAGGCAGAAGCATACTCCCAGAAGGGTCCTTTGGGTCAAATTCAACCCTCTGACCCTGCAGATGAGAAAGCAGAACCTTTGAGAAATGAGACGACTTACTTAAAGCCACACAGTAGTTATGGTGGGCCAGCTTTTCTGACTCTCAGGCCAGCCTTCTTCCTCCTTTACAAGGCTTCTCCATTCCACAGGGGTGTATTAGCAACTAAGGTGTGTCCCCCTTGACAGCCAAATGCGATGATTGGGTGCCTGCAGGGTAAAAGCACTTCAAAACTTAATTAAGGCTCCATACACATAAGAAAGCCTTTTTAATGAACAATGTACAGCTTGGGTTGTTCAGTCACAACTGTTCCCTGAGCATCCCAAGGTACCAGGAAGCTGTCTAGGACTCGGTTATGGAGAAGGTAGATAACACAGCTTTGGTGGAGCTTACATTTTTGTAAAAGTGACAACACAATCAGAGAATTTCAGGAACACAACTATCTTGTTTTACAGATGAGGAAAAGCGATTTGTCCAGGTAACATTTGTTAGTAACAGAACCAAGACCAGAATCCAGGTTCCCAACTCCTGTTCAAGTGCTCACCCTCTACACTCTGTTCCAAAAAAAAAAAAATGGCTACGCTAAAATTAGCTTCTCTTTTTAAAAAAATCTATACCCTAGGCCCAGTTGCAGTGGTGCAGAAGTAACGCAATACTGCAGTGGTGGAGACCATATGAAAGATCAGGGTTCAGGTCTCTATAGCAAAAATAAAACCAAAAAACTGAACTTCTTTGTACCAAATTGCCTTTGGAGTTTATAGTAAAATCTCACCCAACTTTACGCTATGCGTTAGATTTTAGAGGTTGTAGATTGCAAGTAGCTCATTCAGACTGTTTCGGGAGATTTTTTTATAAAGGTTACACATGATGGAGAGAAACTCTCTCCAGGAGCCTTGTGCAGCCACTCGGCTGGTCAGATAGAACGTGATCAGGCACTGAAAGGCACTTACTGACCTTCCCCACCACCCCACTTCCCACACTGACACGTTTCTTCACTGCCTCTGCTTCTTCTTGTGGCTATTTTAACTCAGCCACCCACCACTGGCTGATTCTCTCCCCGTATGTCACAATGCGAATTCCTGAGGGACTCTGATTGGTCCAGCTGACCATCATTGCCCCTCATGGGGAGATCTTTCGCTCTTAGCTTACAGTCAGCCTGTAGATGAGCCCCTGTTGGGTCCAGTACCCGTACTGGTCTGTGCAGCTGTGCCTGACTCGGTCACATGGTACATACGTGGTCACATGTGTCTGCTCTCTCTGTGGGAAGCTGTGGGCAGGGAAGTGTCCTCTGGACAGCAGGGCTAAGGCTGGGGGTGACCAACTCAGGGGAGGCTAACTCAGGAAAATATACTTTCATGAAAGTGTAGAATATTTTTAGGAAAATACTATTTATTGGGATCAGCAGATAACATAATTGTTACGTCATTGTACTCCCAGCTAGTTGACCACAGTTTGAGTCCCGGACCCAGTGGCTTAAAACTCACGCCAGGCACATATGCATGCATGACCAAAATCACAAGAAGAGAATGGAGGAGAAGGAATTGCAGCAAAACCATCCCTCTGGGGCATGATTTCTTGCTTTCTGCCTCTCTGTCTCTCTCTCATGCTCTGTCTCTACAGTGAGCACACGTGCCCTATAGCAAAAAACTCTCTCAAAAAAAAAAGAGAGAAAAAGAAAGTACTATTTATTTTTAGTTTATACAGCAATACACATAAAGCTAAAGATCCCAGGAGCCCTCTAGGTAGAGATCTATGAGTACTCTGCTATAAAATATAAATAAAACAATTTGGATTAGCACATCTTACTTAACTACTCAGTCCATCAAGTATTAGCCAAAAATTTTAACTCATTTACTTCACAGAATCATTTTTGTCATTTAAAAGGTGCTCATTCTCTTAAATATATTTTTTTAATTATCCGAAGATGGGAGCACACACCAGAGAAAGGCAGAGGAGAAAGAGAAAAGCCACCCCCATAGGGCATGGTCACACCACAATCCCTTCTGCTCTATTTCTCCCTCCTTTCAGGATTCGGGGCGCTCATGTACATGTGCCCAGTGGGATTCTTTTTTTTTTTTTTCTTAAAGGTTTTTGCTGTAGGGAGAAAGACAGAGACAGACACTGAGAGGGAAAGTGAGAAAGCATCCCCGAGGGGTGGCCATGAGGCAATCCCTTCTCTCTCATTCTCCTCCTGGGATTTTGGGCACAGACACACAAGTCCAGTGTAATTTTTCAAGTCACTAAGCCCAGGACTCAAGCCACGGTCAGCCATGTAGAAGTCTGGTACCTTAGCCACCATGCCACCTGCCAGCTGCCACCCCAAGTGTGATTTTCTTTTTTTTTTTTTTTTTTGCAGAGGTTTTTGCTGTAGGGCGCGTGCGCTCGCCAGACAGACAGAGAGAGACAGAGAGACAGAAAGCGAGAAATCACCCCCCAGGGAGGATGGCCATGCCGCAATCCCTTCTCCTCCATTCTCCCCTCGGGATCTTGGGCACGCACGCACACGCGCCCAGCGTGAGTTTAAGCCACTGGGTCCAGGACTCGAACCACAGTCGACTATGTGGGAATCCAGCGACATAGCCATTACGCTAACTGCTGGTCCTTTTTTTTTTTTTTTCCCCAAGTGTGATTCTTAAGCCACTGAGGCCAGGATTCAAACTGAGCAGTTATCCATGTGGAATGCCACCCTCTTAACCATTAGGCTATGGGGTCAGCCCCTCAAATATTTTAAATAGTTCTCTTAGTGTTTTTCTTTATATATATGTGTATATATATATATATATATATATATACACCCACACATTTATATA